AGCAAACCTCACTGCAACATATCAAAGGCATCTCACCTAGGTGACACAATTCTAGAGGAAAATAAAATCAATTAAACCAAGGTAATGCTACTTTAATGTAGTTTAGGTAGTCAATAACACTAAAGTTTAAAAATCAAGTAGCCTTTCTCTAAAAGACCTAAATTGAATCAATATTTTTTTTGTTTCTCCTAAAGGTAATTATAAAACAAAAACAGGCCGGGCGCGGTGGCTCACACCTGTAATCCCAGCACTTTGGGAGGCCAAGGCGGGTGGATTACGAAGTCAAGAAATCGAGACCACCCTGGTCAACACGGTGAAACCCCATCTCTACTAAAAATACAAAACATTAGCTGGGCATGGTGGCGTGTGCCTGTAATCCCAGCTACTCAGGAGGTTGAGGCAGGAGAATTGCCTGAACCCAGGAGGCGGAGGTTGCGGTGAGCCGAGACCGTGCCATTACACTCCAGCCTGGGTAACAAGAGCAAAACTCCGTCTCAAAAAACAAAAACAAAAACAAAAACAACTAGCTGGTTGGGCACAGTGGCTCATGCCTGTAATCCCAGGACTTTGGGAGGCCAAGGCAGGCAGATCACCTGAGTTCAGGAGTTTGGGACCAACCTGGCCAACACGGTGAAACGTCGTCTCTACTAAAAATCAAAATTAGCCAGATGTGGTGGTACACGCCGGTAATCCAAGCTACTAAGGAGGCTGAGGCAGCAGAATTGCTTTAACCTGGGAGGCGGAGGTTATAGTGAACCAAAATCTCGCCACTGCAGTCCAACCTGGGCGACAAAGTGAGACTCTGTCTTTAAAAAACACACAAAAAATACATTACCCTACATTACACTTGTACAATATTTTTAAATGGAGACAATAAATTTGGTTGTAGAGAAAATTTGTTAAAATAAGTAATTTCTTATCTATGGCTCAAAAGTTGTTTTTAATAAAAGCGATTTCTCCATAATATTTATTAGATCTATAGTGTGAGTTTCTAGCATGATGCAATAGATTCATCCAAAGTAAAAACAAAAAATATTTACCTTACAAAACAAAATAGGCTAGGGGCAATGGCTCATGCCTATAATCCCTGCACTTTGGGAGGCCAAGGCATGTGGATAACCTGAGGTCAGGAGTTCGAGACCAGTCTGACCAATAGGGTGAAACCCCGTCTCTACTAAAAATACAAAAATTAGCAGGGTGTGGTGGTAGGCACCTGTAGTTCCAGCTACTAGGGAGGCTGAGACGTGAGAATAGCTTGAACCCGGGAGGCAGAGGCTGCAGTGAGCTGAGATCAGGCCATTGCACTCCAGCCTGGGAAACAGAGCAAGACTACGTCTCAATAAAAAATAAATAAATAATATATGAGATATACTCTTTCATAGTGAAATAGCTCACCTATTTAATAGTTCACCTACAATGTGAACTTTTTTTTTTTTTTTTGAGACGGAGTTTCGCTCTTGTTACCCAGGCTGGAGTGCAATGGCGCGCGATCTCGGCTCACCGCAACCTCTGCCTCCTGGGTTCAGGCAATTCTCCTGCCTCAGCCTCCTGAGTAGCTGGGATTACAGGCACACGCCACCATGCCCAGCTAATTTTTTGTATTTTTTTTAGTAGAGACGGGGTTTCACCATGTTGACCAGGATGGTCTCGATCTCTTGACCTCCTGATCCACCCGCCTTGGCCTCCCAAAGTGCTGGGATTACAGGCGTGAGCCACCAGTGCCCGGCCTAAATGTGAACTATTAAATGAAAATGCACTTTTTTTTTTTTTTTTTTTTTTTTTAGACAGAGTCTCGCTCTTGTGACCTAGGCTGGAGTGCAATGGTGTAATCTCAGCTAACTGCAATCTCCAACTCCCAGGCTCGAGAGATTCTCCCGCCTCAGCCTCCCGAGTAGCTGGGACTACAGGCACCCACCACCACGCCTGGCTAACTTTTTGTATTTTTAGTAGAGACGGGGTTTCACCATGTTGGCCAGGCTATTCTCAAACTCCTGACCTCAGGTGATCCACCCGCCTCGGCCTCCCAAAGTGATGGGATTACAGGCACGATCCATCACGCCCGGCCCAAAATTTACTCATAACATATGATCCGGCAACCATGTTCCTGATATTTACCTAAAAGAGCTGAAAACTTCTGTACACACAAAAATCTGCACCAAAAGAAAAAAAGAAAAAGTGTGCACATGGATGTTTACAGCTGCTTTTTTACTTGTAACTGCCAAATCAAAACTTGAAAGCAATCAAGATGTCCTTCAGCAGGTGAAAGGATAAACAAACTGTGGCATATTTGTATAATTGATTATTATTCAGCACTAAAAAGAAATAAGCTATCAAATCATAAAAAGACATGGCAGAACCTAAAATGTGAACTATTAAATGAAAATACTGTATCTGAAAAGGAATGCATACATGATCCAACTATATAATATTCTGGAAAAGACAAAACTGAGGGGAGATAGTAAAACATCAATGGTTGCTAGAGGTTGGGAGTGGGGAGAAGTAGGCAGAGCAGAGGATGCTTAGAGAAGTGAAAATATTCCATCTAATACTATAAAACGGTAGATACATGTCATTATGTACTTGTCCAAACCCACAGAATATACAACACCAGCAATAAATTCTAATGCAAACAATGGACTTTGGGTGATTAATGATGTGTCAATGTCAGCTCATTGACTAATGTATCATTCTAGCAGGGGATGTTGATTATCGGGGAGGTTAATGCATGTGTAGAGGCAGGCAGTAACAGGAAATATAAGTTCCTCTCACTTTTGCTTCGAACCTAAAACTGATCTAAAATAATTAAATCTTAAAAACTTCATTTTATTTTGTTTTAATTTTTTATTAAGATAGATAAGAAGGGGATGTGATTTTAAAAAGAAAAGCAAAATTAAAAAAGAAAATAGGCTGGGCATGGTGGCTCACACCTATGATTCCAGCACTTTAGGAGGCCAAGGTGGGTGGATCACTTGAGGTCAGAGACCAGCCTGGTCAATATGGTGAAATCCTGTCTCTACCAAATATACAAAAATTAGCTGGGCATGGTGGCACAAGCCTGTAATCTCAGCTACTTGGGAGGCTGAGGCATGAGAATCACTTGAAGCTGAGAAGTGAAGGTTGCAGTGAGCCAAGATGGCGCCACTCTACTCCTGCCTGGGCAACAGAGTGAGACTCTGTCTCAAAAAATAATAATTAAAAATAAATAAATAAATCACACGTTCACTTTTAAAATATGCCATTTATACCTGTTGTCTATTTCCGAATCCTCCTTCATTCCCAAAAAACTCTACCAAAACTATCTTGAAGCCTGTAATTGCAGCCCTTTGGGAGGCCGAGGCAGGCAGATCAACTGAGGTAAGGAGTTTGAGACCAGCCTGGCTAATATAATGACATCCCGTCTCTACTAAAAATATAAAAATTAACCAAGTGTGGCGACACACACCTGTAATCCCAGCTACTAGGGAGGCTGAGACATGAGACTCTCTGGAACCCAGGAGGCAGAGCTTGCACTGAGCTGAGATCATGCCACTGCATTCCAGCCTGGGCAACAGAACAAGACTCTACCTCAAAACGAAAAAAAAAAAAAGAAATGTGGTATACATCTACCATGAAACACTACTCGGCCATAAAAAGGAATGAAGTAATGGCATTTGAAACAACCTGGATGGAGCTGGAGACCATTATTCTAAGTGAAGTAACTCAGGAATGGAAAACCAAACATTTTATGTTCTCACTTATAAGCAGGAGCTAAGCTACAAGGACACAAAGGCAAAAGAATGATATAATGGGCTGAGCACAGTGGTTCAAGCCCGTAATCCCAGCATTTTGGGAGGCCGAGGTGGGTGGACCACCTGAGGTCAGGAGTTCAAGATCAGCCTGGCCAACATGGTGAAACCCCTTCTCTATAAATAAATAAATAAATAACGATATAATGGACTTCGGGAACTCGGGGGGGGGGAAGGGAGGGGGGATAAAAGACTACATACAGCCAGGCACAGTGGCTCATGCCTGTAATTCCAGCACTTTGGGAGGCCAAGGCAGGCAAATTATGACGTCAAGAGTTTGAGACCAGTCTGACCAACATGGTAAAATCCCATTTCTACTACAAATGCAAAAATTAGATGGGCATGGTAGCTCAAGCCTATAACCTCAGCTACTTGGGAGGCTTAGGCACGAGAATTGCTTGAACCCAGGAGGCGGAGGTTGCAGTAAGCCAAGATTGTGCCACTGCACTCCAGCCTGGGAGACAGAGCAAGACTCCATCTTAAAAAAAAAAAAAAAAAAAAAGACTACATAAACGCTGGGTACAGAATATACTGCTCAAGTGACAGGTACACCAAAATCTTATAAATCACTACTAAAGCGCTCTTCCATGCAACCAAACACCCACTAGCTGTTTCCCTAGAACTATTGAAATAAAAATAAAAAGCAGAGACATGTTCTGTACAGTATATACCTTAGCGACAATAAGAACCCAAACTAGGCTGGGCTCAGTGGCTCATAACTGTAATCTCAGTCTTTTGGGAGGCTGAGGCCAGAGGGTCATTCAAGGACAGGGGTTTGAGACCATCCTGGTCAATAAAGCAAGAGCTATCTCTATGAAATAACTTAAAAGTCAGCCAGGTGTGGTGGTATGTGCCTGTAGTCCTTGCTACTCAGGAGGCTAAGCCAGGAAGAATGCTTAAACCCAGGAAAGAACTTGAGGATACAGTGAGCTATGATCACACCACTACACTCCAGCCTGGGCAACAGAGCAAGACCCTGACATAAGAAAAAAACCAACTGGCAGGGTGTGGTGACATACGCCTGGAGTCCCAGCTATTCGGGAGGTTGAGGCAGGAGGATCACTTGAGCTCAGGAGTTCAAGGCCAGCCTGGGCAATGTATCTTGTCTCTAATTAAAACATATTTTAAAAAATAAGTGGAGCAAAACCAACATCTAGATCAGCGCAGCAGCCACTGAGGTGTCCCTGGCCACTGTCCTTCTACCTGTCCACAAGCATGGGGAACATCTTTGCCAACCTCTTCAAGGGCCTTTTTGGCAAAAACAAAATGCGCATCCTCATGGTGGGCCTGGATGCTGCGAGGAAGACCATGATCCTGTACAAGATTAAGCTGGGCGAGATTGTGACCACCATTCCCACCATAGGCTTCAATATGGAAACCGTGAAGTACAAGAATATGAGCTTCACTGTGTGGGATGTTGGTGGCCAGGACAAGATACGGCCTCTGTGGCACCACTACTTCCAGAACACACAAGGCCTGATCTTCGTGGTGGACATCAACGACAGAGGGTGCATGAACGAGGCCCATGAGGAGCTCATGAGGATGCTGGCTGAGGACAAGCTCCAGGATGCTGTCCTCTTGGTGTTCGCCAACAAGCAGGACCTCCCCAACGCCATGAATGCGGCTGAGATCACAGACAAGCTGGGGCTGCACTTCCTACACCACAGGAACTGGTACATTCAGGCCACCTGCACCACCAGCAGCAAAGGGCTCTATGAAGGACTGGACTGGGAATCAGAAGTGAATGCGATCCCCCTCCCTCTCACTCCTCTCACCCTCTGCTTTACTCTCATGTGGCAAACATGCGGCTCATGGTATAAGTGCCAGAAGCTGCCTCCGTGGTTTGGTTACCATGTGCCAGAAGCTGCCTCCGTGGTTTGGTTACCATGTGCATCGCACCATGCTGTAAATGTGGCAGATGCAGTCTGCAGCCAGGCTTTTTATTTAATGTAAATAGTTTTTGTTTCCAATGAGGCAGTTTCTGGTACTCCTACGCAATATTACTCAACTTTTTTTATTGTAAAAAGAAAAATCAACTCACTGTTCAGTACTGAGAGGGGATGTAGGCCTGTGGGCACCTGGCCTCCAGGAGTTGCTATGTTGGGAAGGCCAGGCACACTCTTGACTTTAGAGCTGTGTTGAAATCCATTTTGGTGGTTGGTTTTTAACCCAAATTCAGTGTATTTTTTTAAACAGTTAAAAATCCAAGTCGAGAACACTTGAACACATAGAAGGGAGACCCTACCTAGCACAGATTTGCAGTTATGGCCTGAATGCCAGTCACCAGCCTGGCTGTTCCCCTTGGGAACATGAGGCGGCAGCATGGCAGACCACAATCAATTCTGCATGGTCATAATAGAGATCCGTGCAACTTGCTTGTCCTTGGGTCACCCTGCATTTCATAGCCATGTGCTTGTCCCTGTGCCCCCATGGTTCACAGGGGCCAGGCTGGGAGCCCACAACCGCCCCACTCTCCCACAGGCCGCCCCACCAACCTTCAGGCAGCCTATGGGAGGCAGGGCCCCACCTGTCCCTCCGTCAGCATGTGGCCAGAGTGAGTCCGTCGTCCCCAGTACTCGTGCTTGCTCACACACTTTGGCAGGATGTCTGGGGCCTCACCAGCAGGAGCGCGTGAAAGCTGGGCAGGTGGTCCGCCTAGATCCACAGCCCCTCAGGAGCACCCCACCTCCGTGTGTGATACAGCTTTGTTTCCCTCAAACTGCAAGGGTCCAATTTGCCAACAAAAAAGACAATCTCTACTTTTTTCTTTTGTATTTTGATAAACAGTGAAGAAGCTAGAGCTGTTGAATTTATCTTGGGGAAATCTCAGAACTGGTCTATTTGGTGTCATGGAACCTCTTACTGCTTTCAATACACGATCAGTAATCAACTGTTTTATATACTTGTTTTCAGTTTTCATTTCGACAAACAAGCACTGTAATTATAGCTATTAGAATAAAATCTCTTAACTATTAAAAAAAAAAAAAGAAAAAAATAATTTTTTAAAAAAGCTGCCTTGTAATAACAGGTAAAGATTAGTGTTAGAAATAAGTGAGATAGGAAGTGAGATAAGTGAGAAGTAAGAGATTGGAAGGTAGAAGCCAGACTATGAAAGGCTTTAACTCAGACAAGAGAGTCTGGATCTCATCTCTTTTTTTTTTTTTTTCCAAAGACGAGATTTCACCATGTTGGTCAGGCTGGTCTTAAACTCCCGACCTCAGGTGATCCGCCCGCCTTGGCCTCCAAAGTGCTTGGATTATCAGGCGTGAGCCACCACAATGGGCCTTGGATTTCATCTCAAAAGAGAAGTCTGTTGGGATGCTTTGGCAAGGTTTTATTCAATCTCACAATGGACAGAATAACAAAGGTTTATTTAGTACTTACTAATTTTAAAAATTGTAAAATATTTATCCTTTTGTGACTGCCTTATTTCACTCAGCATAAAGTTGTCAAGGTTCATCCACACTGTATACTGTATAGCATGTGTCAGATTTCCTTCCCCTGCCTCCCTTTTTTTTTTTTTTAGACAGAGTTGTGCTCTGTCGCCCAGGCTAGAGTGCAGCGGCATGATGCCAGCTCACTGCAACCTCTGCCTCCTAGGTTCAAATGATTCTCCTGCCTTAGTCTCCAGAACAGCTGGGATTACAGACACGTGCCACCACACCCAGCTAATTTTTTTATTTTTAGTAGAGGCAGGGTTTCTCCACGTTGGCCAAGCTGGTCTCAAACTCCTAGTCTCAGGCGATCCTCACACCTTCACCTTCCAAACTGTTGGGATGACAGGCGTGAGCCCCCACACCAGGCCAAGATTTCCAATTTTTTTTTTTTTTTTGAGATTGAGTCTCATTCTGTTGTCCAGACTAGAGTACAATGGCACGATTTCGGCTCACTGCAACCTCTGCCTCCCAGGTTCAAGTGATCCTCCTGCCTCAACCCCCGTAGTAGCTGAAATTACAGGCATGCACCAACTGCCCGGCTAATTTTTGTTTTTAGTCGAGAAGGAGTCTCACCACATTGGCCAGTCTGGTCTCAAACTCCTGACTCAAGGTGATCCACCTGTCCGGCAATTTCCTTCCTTTTTAAAGCTAATATTCCATTGTATACATGTGTCAAATTTTGTTTATTCATTTATCTATGGATGGATACTCATTAACCTCTACCTTTTGGCTATTGTGAATGCTAGTATGAATACGGGGTAACTAAGTTGGTTTTAATTTTATAAAATATACTTTTTTTTTTTTTGAGACAGGGTCTTGCTCTGTTGCCCAGGATAGAATGAGGTGACACAATTAAGACTCAGCATCCAAGGATGACCTCCTAGGCTCAAGCCAGCCTCCCAAGCAGCTGGGACTATAGGCATGTGCCACCATACCTAATTTTTTTATATTTTGGAAAGATAGGGTCTCACTATGTTGCCCAGGCTGGCTTGAACTCCTGGCCTCAAGCAATCCTGCCTCAGTCTCCCAAAGTGCTGGGATTACAGGTGTGAGCCACCATGCCCCCCAGCCAAAATGTACTTTTAAAAAAGAAGAGAGCCTAGTCCCAGCCACTGAGGAGTCCAAGGCAGAAGGATCACTTGAACCCAGGAGTTCAGGGCTGTGGTGTACTTAACATAAGTGTTGCTTCTAAGAAAACCTAAATCATCCAAGTTAGAAGGTAGAAAGCAAATGGAAAAGTAGTAATTGACGTAACAGTCTCAATAATGATCAATTTTAAACCGACAATGGGGCAAACTGAGAAAGCTGATTTGGACCACAGAACCCCCACTGGCTTAGGAATTGTCCAGGCCAAGTACATCTAGAAATAAAGGTGAAGATGGAGCTAAAAACAGAAGGAAGGGATAAAAGTCTATTTAACAAGTAGATTAACACTCTCTTCTATCCTCTCTTCTGTTCTGCACAGCTGGGTCCCTCGTCCATCTGATCAGAATGCTGCTCAGAAAGAAAAACAGGGTTTCTGGACTAGGGATTACAAGGTAGAATTGAGGGACAGAGTACAAACAATATTAACAACAAGGAGACCAAATCTACTTACTGTATGTTATGACTTCAAACCCTCTCTCCATTCAGCTCCAAGAACACTGACAACCAAGAGTCTCTCCAGCAGGGCAATGAGTAATTCTGCTTTAGGGAATCTGACCAGCACAAACACTTAAAAGACCTAACATCAGAGACTCCCAAAAAGGAACTCCACAAGATCATTCTGCGGTAAAGACCCACAAACCCACACAAGAGCTTAAAAAATTGTTGGCCAGCTGCGGTGGCTCAAGCCTGTAATCCCAGTACTTTGGGAGGCTGAGGCTGGTGAATCTCTATTTTCTGTTTGATGTGGTCTTCAAAAAACTAATGTTTCTTGGCTATTTGCTTCTATTTAAGAGTTGAGCACTAGGCCAGGTATGGGTGGCACATGCCTGTAATCTTAGCACTTTAGGAGGCCAAGTGGATCGACTACGATCAGGAGTTCAAGACCAGCCTGGGAAACATGGTGAAACCCCATCTCTACTAAAAAACACAAAAAATTAGCTGGGCATGGTGTCACTCGACTGTAATCTCAGCTACTCAGGAGGCTGAAGCAGGAGAACTGCTTGAACCCAGGAGGCAGAGGTTGCAGTCAGCCGAGATCGTGCCATTGCACTCCAGCCTAGGCAAGAAGGTAAGACTCGCTCTCAAAAAAAAAAAAAAAAAAAAAAAAATGGGGTCTTGCTCTCTCACCCAGGCTTCAGCACATGGGTGCCATTATAGCTCACCACAACCTTGAGCTCCTGGGTTCAAGTGATCCTCCCACCTCAGCCTCTGGAATATTTGGGATTAGAGGCATGTGTCATTGCCCCTGGCTGATAAAAAAAAATTTTTTTTTCAGCAACAAGATCTTGCTGTGTTACCAGGCTGGTTTTCAACTCCTGGCCTCAAGTGATTCTCATGCCTCAGCCTTCTGACTCTGGAATTACAGGCATGCACCACCTCACGTTTGGACATTTTATTAGACTTCCTGATTTTATTTCATCTGGTCTCTTTTCTATTTTCTTATGCTTCTGTTTTAATTCTCATTAAGACTTTTCTCAACTTTCTTCCATTCTATTATTTTTTTCTGCTATCATTTTAATTTTTCTTTTCTTTTTTTGAGCCGGGGACTTACTCTGTCACCCAGCCTGGAGTGCAGTGGTGTGAGACCACAGGCGTGCACTACCAAGCCCAGCTATTTTTCTATTTTTGGTAGATATGGCATTTTGCCATGTTGCCCAGGCTCATCTCGAATTCCTGAGCTCATGTGATCCACCCAGCCTCAGTCTCCCAAATTGCTAGGATAAGGGGCATAAGACACCGCTCCGGGCCTTATCATTTCAAAGAGGGCCTTATCATTTCAAAGAGTGTTAATTAACTCATTCATTAAATGAAAGGTACAGGTAGGTGGATGGCCTGAGGTCAGGAGTTGGAGACCAGCCTGACCAACACAGCAAAACCCTGTCTCTATTAAAAATACAAAAATCAGACAGGTGTGATGGTGTGCACTTGTAGTTCCTGTTATTCAGGAGGCTGAGGCATGAGAATCACTTGATCCTGGGAGTGATTGTGCAGTGAACCAAGATTGGCCACTCCACTCCATCCTGGACAACAGAGTGAGACCTTGTCTCAAAAAAAAAAAAAAAAAAAAAAAACCACCTAAAGAAATATGAATAAAATATGGCCTTGAGTAAATAATAATGAATCACTATTGGTTCATTAATGTGAAAAATATATCATACATGAAAGGTGTTACGGTTGGGTGCAGTGGCTCATCCCTGTAATACCAGCATTTTGGGAGGCCAAGGTGGGTGGATCACGAGGTCAGGAGTTCAAGACCAGCCTGGACAAGATAGTGAAACCCCATCTCTCTTTTTTTTTTTTTTTTTTTTAATGATTCAGTTCTCCATAGACTGCCAAAAATTGCCAACGCTGACTATATTTCAAGTCGTC